GGAAATCAAATTATTTTTCTTTCTATATTGTATAGTGTCCAATAATGTTTCACATAATTTGTTGTGTTTTTAATTTTGATTATTTTCATATAGATTTGACTTTTTTGTTGATTATTTATGCTTGATATTTCTATATTATACAACAATCTGCCATTACATACAATGCCTTGTCAATCCTCATTCTTTGACTTTGCCAATTTCCGTTTAATATGACCTTTCTGTTGCTGAAAGTATTTTTAATACCTTAAAATATTGATGTTTTGGATATGTTGTGATGCTATAATCATGCAGAAATTTGTCTCGTCACTTCTTTCTTAAAGAGGAATTGTTTAATGAAAATTAATCATATTTATATTTATAATTGTGAAATAATTTTTTTTAATGAAAAATATGAGACAATTTATTTAGCACACTTTTTAATTTATAAAACAGAATGTTGATTGCGATAATCAAATCTGCAGAAAACATGCATTTTATTGAATAGTAGTAATATAAAATATTTTATTATTACTACCAAATGGAAAGTCAAAGATATTTAATTTTGCACTATTAATTAGATCATATGATTTTTTTTTATACATATGTTTTTTCAATAAACTTTTTAAATGATAATATTGACAATGTAGACTTTGCTATAATAATCATATAGACTGTTAATTTGTTTATTTACTTCATTAATTTTTTTTTTTATATTAATTCATCTTATTATGCGTATAGTCTAACTTTATAAATTATATGTCATTTAAATGTATCTATACTACTAATTTATAAGGTTTTACCATTTGGGGGAGCTAAATTTTTATTTTAATTATGAAACTAATCTTTCTTATCATTTTGCAGCTATATGTTTGATGGAGTATGGTTGGAAATTAAATTACAAAAAAAATAATTTCATTTTTTATATTGTAATGTAACATGATCTGTATTATAATGTTTGTATTTATTACATTTATTAATATTTTTTATAACTTTAATTGCTTATTCAATTCATAATGGAATAAAAAAATAATAATATATAGTTTCTACACAACAATAATGATTGCCACATTTATATATATAAATGAGAATAAGAAACATAAATGTGGGATTAACTAAAAAAGCTTTTTTAATTTAGCCATTAAGTAATTAGGTTTAACTAAAAAAAACCTTCTTAAATGTGGGCTTAATGAGTAATTAATTAAAAAAATGTAACTCCTTTTGGAGGGAGAGTGAAAATGTTTTTATTAAATGTTTTATTAAATAGGATTAGCTAGTAATTATATATATATAGATTTCCAAGCAGAAACAACCCATTGATTGCTAAGCCAAAAGAACAAAGATTATTAATAAAACAACAAAAAGGACTAAAAACTAGCAAAACTTCACCAAAACACATAAACTTCATACTCAAGAAGATACCAAACCTTAATTAAAAGAACCCACTAGATTAATATGCTGAGATAGCTCTTATTCTAGTGAGGGTGGAAAAGATATAAGAGGAAAAAAGAGTTAAATAATCATGTAGGACCATATATACACATTCTTCACCTTGAAGCAATCAATGATGGCTGTAAATCTAATATCAACATTCAATGATTTTTATATAGAAGGCAATTTTTAACAATTTATTTTACTTTTTGCACTAAAAAATTGTGTAAAACGCTGCAAAGGATGAAAAGATCATAGCTCAAGCCTCAAAGTACTACTATTCATATATTCTTTTCTTGGGATGAGGTGCAACATATCTAATAATATTTTTATATTAAGGAATATATTGAGGAAAAACTGACCTGTCCACTTTACCTTGGTGCTGATGGCAGCCATGTTTGAGCTTCTTATTAAGCGCTGAAAACCAGAAATGGAGATTGAATGTAGGTGGAAAGTGCGCCTGTTTCTTTTCGTGTTTGATGGTTTTTTGCGTGGTTTTGAACTGAACCATGAGAGAGTTACCTCCACGCGCCAGTTGTGGATAGAGAGAGATTTTGTTGAAACCAGTTGGGCTTCATTGTCTGTTGCTGGACCTCACATGGATGTGGTAATTGCTGGGTTTTTGATGTTGTTAATGGAAATCACACAAGCATAAATGATGTATTAGAGTAAATGTTATTGTCATTATTAAGCTGCAAGTTAGCCTGAGTGAAGTCGAGCAATACCTTTATCGAGCCAAACTTGATTTTTTTTACTACTATTTATGCTCAACCAATCTCGACGAGCCAAGCTTGATATGACTCACGTAGGCTCGACTCCACTCGATACTAATATATAAATGCTTGAGATTGACTCAATTAAATGAAAATCATGCCTAATTTTATGCCAATCTTTTAGTTTGAGTTATAGGTAAGTAAGCAATTAGACGCACGCATATCAATGTCAAATTATACTAGTATGGCTTTGCTCGAGCACGAGCCGAGCTCAAGCTTATACAAAGCTCGTTTGCTAACGAGCCAAGCTCAGCTCGACTTGATAAAACTCGAAAATATAATTTTTATATAATTTTATTAAATCGGCTCGTTAAAGCTCGAGATATGCTCGAACTCGATTTCTGGCTCATTTACAGGCCTAGACATATGCTTGAGTGAATAATTGAGCTTATACAACATATGAGATCGAGCCCGACTTGAGTTCGAGTCGAGATTTGGTTCAAACGCTCAAGAGGCGCTCAACTGAGTTACAACTCTAATTGTTTTAAAATTGTCTTAATGAAACGATTAATAATATTTTTAGCCGCTTGGCTCGTCATCATTCAGTCGTTGCAATAAAACAAATATTAATATTTTTTAATAATGTATCACATTTATTAAGTATCATATTTGCCATACAATTATACGACTTCAACTGCAAAATTAAGTATCACATTTTTAACTAAGTTAAAACAAATATTAATATTTTTTAATAATGTATCACATTCAGGGGCGAAACCATGTGGAAGGTTGGAGAGGCGCCGACCCTCCAAAAAAAAAAAATTCGAACTAGGGGAAGGAGATTTTGCTGGAACTGAAGGAAATTGACGAGTGAGAGCAAGATCTAACTATACATGTCTTTAATCAATTAATCGACCATGGCATACCCATTTCAAGTCTCTTCTTTTTCTTCTCTGTTGTTAGTGGAGAATTAGGGTTTTGGAGACGGCGAATAAGCAGATGAAATGGAGAAAACCCTCGTCCACTTTATATATGTCCAAATTCAAGTTGGCCCTGACCCAAAACAAAATTGAGCCCATATACAGGAAGAGAAAAATAAAATAAAATGGCCCAATACCTCATATTTAGAATTGTCCTTATTTTTCATGGACTTGATAAGTTTTAAGCACGGAGTTTGCCATGATTTAATTATTGTATGTGTTGAATGTTGATAGAGTTCGTTAAATGAAATGAATTGCTGGTGAATTTGGCTCGACTTGATTGTGAGTGAATATAAGGCTCGTTAAGCGAGTTCGGGTCACTAAGATTTGATAAATATTTTTAACTTTTAGTTCCAGCAAAATAATCATTATTCGGGTCACTAAGAGAGACGAAGTGACGAAGAAGACAAAGTAAAAATTTTTTTAAAGGCAAATTGAGCCTTCCCCGAAACGGGATCCCGATTTCGCCACTTATCACATTGTATAAGTATCATATTTGCCATACAATTATTTATGATGATACATTACAAATTCCAAAAAATTCAATTGTTTGTGTATAACAACACGAGAATAATAACGGTTCACCGTTCACGCTTCTAATCTACAAACTACAGTGACCCGATAGTTAGCAAACGCTAAGCACGACTTTTAGGATTGTTCTCCTTGCGCCGGCAAAAGCAGCTAGACGGAGAAGTTTTACGATCTCCGAACAACTCTCAAGCCTCGACCGATTCAAATCTCGGAGGGTATACTCTCGTGAGATTCCAGATGCTGTTATGAAAGTTGTATACATATAGAATCACGCCTACAGATACAAATGGAGGCCGCCGTGAAGGAGGTGCTCTTCGAGACGCGACGTCACGCTTCGAGGCCTTACACCTCCAATTATCCTCCTCAGCAGCAGGTACCCTTAATCGTATATTTCTTCGTTTTAAATATTTATTTTGCCTGTATTTGATTGATGATGATGATTTTGTTTGGCTCTAATCGGATTTCTGTATAGTTAATCAGTTTAATTTTGTTTGGTGAAGCTGAGAGGAAGTGGTGGAGGCAGTTTGCTATCGTACCTTCCATTTCGAGGTACATTTGATTAGCTCTGAAATTAGCAATTTATTACTTTTTATTTTAATTAGATGACTTTGTATGAATGTGGATGACTTGTATCTTGTTCGGTTTAATTGGAGATAGGGAAGAGTTTTTTTGCAGTTGAAGTCGTTTAACTTAGTTAAAAATGTCATTTGTTGACTCTCATCATTGTAATGCGGATTAATTGAAATGAGAGTATTGATAATCCGGTCAGGTTCGTGATACGGTAATATAATATATGTTGATTGGTTTTATCATAGTCAGAAATGTTATATACCTGCTAGCATCCTGCAAAATCTTTAGATTCTATAAAAATCTTCAAAGTTCACTCGGCTTGGGATTTGTAGATGTTCGACTTGGATGCTTCAGATTGTTAGCTGATCACATTTGGAATTTATAGACGTTTGATGAAACATTTTTGCTATTCCAAAGCCTAACCAAATGTGTACGTTCCACTCATTTACATTTTCTATGTGGTTTCAGATAGAGTAATTAAGTTACCACTCTTTCTGAAGTGACTGCTATTTTGAGATTTAGTCTTCTGGAGGAAAGTTGAATGCTGCAATATCTATCAGCAATATTGGCAGACATCCTGATATTTTTAACCCTGGATCCTACTAAGTCATTCAGAGCAATTTCAGTGGGATGTCCCTTATTTTTGAGAAAGTGATGTTTATTTATATAATGTCAGTGTTAGCCAGTTTGGAACAAACACTATCTGTCTTCAAATGGCCATTAATTAGCTTATCTACTTGCTATATGTATCTTGAGTTTTTTTTCCCATTATTTATTTATTTTTGTGGTCAAAGAATTGGCATGCAGGGGTGTTTTATTCTTAATATGCAGATGTATTACATTGTCATTTATTTATTTATAACATTGTTATTTGAAGGAATTACCCAACTGAGAGACAAGTGGAGTAAAAATAGACAACCAAGAAGATCAAGAAGATTGGTATCCTTGTTTGTCTCTGCAATGGGTGATTATGTCGCTGTGGCTTCCGGGAACCAGATAACGATTTTGCCGAAAAATAATGATTACAAGGAGCCAGTGGGAATATTTACGTGTAAGATTTACTAGTGTTTTAAAATTGAATATGAAGATATGTTTTGCTACTTGCCTGGGTGGAAATTTTATAGATTCAGAGAATTTTCTGGATTAAGTTGTCTGATTATTCTTCTTTATCACTATTCTGGGTCTTCTGGCAGGAAAATGCTGTAAGAAAGTTGTGTGATTTCTCTGATTGTTGTTGCATAGTCATTATTAGATATTGGTTGGACTTTTATTATTGGTTCACGTCTTATTATGCATAAATCAAGTGTTTGATGCTTTTTCATTCGGTGAAATTTTCAATGTCTTTGCTGGTCCTGGTGTAGGTGCTGGTGCTACCACTTTTACCTGCGGAACTTGGTCCGAATCTCATGAACTACTTGGAGTTGCTGATGACATTGATACAATATATATTATCAAACCAAATGGTGAAGAGATGACTAGAATTACAAAGAGGCATCTGAATGCCTCTTCACCTTTTCTCGGTTTGATTGTACAGGATGATGCTTTGAAGAAACAATCTTACTTGTAAGTTTAACTAAAGATTTGTTCACTAGTTAATAGTTATGCTAATATTACAATTGACCAGTGAGTACACAGCAGTATTTTTAACTTTTGATAATTTTTTCTAATTTTATTTTATTTATTTATTTTGCAGATGTGCCTTCACTATATTTGTTTCAGATGGTACTTTTCATGATATTGAGATCAGTAAGGATCCAAGCGCCTCTATTTTTCCTACACAAGCACTGAACAGTTCTCAAAGGCTAAGACAGTTTCCCCAGGAAATTTGTTGCTGGGACTACCATACGAAACTTTCTTTACTTGCCATAGCTAGTAGTGTTGGTGACGTCTCATCTTCAGGTACCTGTCTATCTCTCTCTCTCTCACACACACTCACACACACACACACACTCGCACAAGCACAAGCCATGGTTGGATTAGTACTCTTGCAAACATGCTTATTCAGGAAGTAATGGGGAATCAACTATAGTAGCACATGGTTTAAGAAAGTAGGCAATTGTGCCGACTGTAACTTTTGTCTTACAACATAGAGGTAAGTTGTGTAAGATTGAAACTATTAATGAGAGTAGTATTCAGATGGCTGTGCTCAGGGTTTATGGTATTTAGAAGTGCAAATTTTTACTATTTTTAATCTTAAAAGACTAAACTTAACGAGGGTTATTTTTTCTTTGTCGTGGAAGTTACAACTTCGAATTTCCACATTTCATTACCTTCCGCTATATTTTTGTGCCTTTTCTTTTAGGACAAGAAACAAGGAACCTAATGTTGATTACTTAATTTCATACGACTCCTTTTATGCAGGATCTTGTAGTATTTCCATTTGGCGAAAATCAAACTTAGAAATGGAGCCATTGGCTTCTGTTAAGTTTGAGGGTTCATATTCCATAGCAAAAGAATATCATGGTCAACTGACATCTCCAAAAGTGCTCTTCTCACTGCACGGCAATTATGTTGCTTCCCTGGATTTTGAAGGGTGCTTAGTCATTTTTCAGTTTGATGAAGAAACGTGTTCACTCTCAAAACTCTCTGATGGTAGGAGCTGCACAAATGACATATCAAGCAGTGGAGCAGAATTTCTACATGACATTGTGGATTTCACTTGGTGGTCTGATGACGTACTCACTGTTGCCAAAAGAAATGGCACCATTGCCAT